TTCACCACCACACCCAGCTGGTAACTGATTTAATTCAGAAAAGCCTAAACTTTATGCCTGAAGAGAAAGATGCCAACAAGAAGCAAGGAAATTTGTACAGAATGATCAGGGTCAACTGGAGACTCATCTCTCAAAGTTAGAGTGAAGGATGAAGAGAGGATTCAGATGGAAGCTGGAATAAGAAGTGATTAGAAACCCAAAAGTCCTCCCCATTCGATTAGCTAGGTGATTCCTCTAGCTTACTTGAAGAAAGAAAAGCAAAGTGTCTCAAGATGTCAAATCTGAAAAATTCTGCACTCCAGAGACATAAAGCACATATGACAGATTTAATGAAAGTCTGCATTAAAAAAACAAAAAAACAGAGAGCCCTCCAATCTTGGCACCAGGATAATTATTCCCATCTCCCCCACGAGAGGAGGCTGGAGACGTCCTCTCCAAAGAAAACCTCTGGCACAAGAGAAAGACTTACTGATGCACTAATGTCCAAATTGCATTCACAGTGTGATTAAGTGAGTCATTTATGGCCAGCGGGTCCTGAGTGTCTGGGGGCCTCCACTGGTTGAAAAATACCTCTGCTCTACCATTAGTGAAATAATTTAATATCATCTTTGGAGTCTCCGCCCCCCCCCGCCAGTAAATAATTCTACTCTTGATTACTAAGAAGCCCAGTAGTTAGTAAGACCTATCCTTGAACACAGACCGTTAGATCAGCCCATTAGGTCATCATGCTTAAATGTTAGTGTCACTAGATATTGGAAGGAAGTTCCCAAGTTGGAAAGCAAAGGACGATGAGGAGGAGGAGGAGGAGGAGGATGAAGATGATGATGATCTTGGATGAAACAGTTAATTCCAAGAGCAGAAGAAAATTTTGAAAAAATTTATACTTTAAGATAATATTAAAAGATATTATAGCCATGAAACTAAACAAGAATAGGATGCTTTTTTGATCAAATGGTTTTATATTGCTTTCATCCATTTTCTCTTTTTTATTAGTATATGTTAGCAATATGTAATAAATACATTCATCATGGGGGAATTGATATACATACATACCACATTTTGATCCTTTTTATTTCCCCTTCCCCTCCCTTTCTCTCCCACTCCTAGATCCTCTGCTATCCCCACATAAATCTATCTCCCTGTTTCCTATCATCTATCTTTTAATTTGTTCTTTATTTATATTTTGGGCTTCTTATATAACAGAAACTATATGATATTTAACCTTCTGGGTCTGATTTATTTCACTTACCATCACGGGTGGAAGGATGCTTTTTTTTTCCTTAAGAAAAGTCACCAAAAACAAATTGTTTCTGCATAAACTGAAACTTTTCAAGGAAAAAGTAAAAGATGATTGTAGTAATTATATAAGAATTAGATCAAAATAATAAAGAGAGGGAAAAGAGATCAAAGGGAAGAAAAGAATTATAGGACCAACAACTCAGGAAAGCAAACATAGGAATTCTTATTTCAAAAAATAAAATTAGGGGAGAAAGGTTAGGTGTCATGACGCATAGCTGTAATCCCAGCTACTCAGGAGGCTGAGATAAAGAGAGCTGCGAATTCTGGGTTTGAATTCCAGTACTGAAAATAAAAACAAAAGACACCAGAAATGTCAATTAATTTGTATAGGAAACTGCAACATAATTGAAATATTATGCCAATTAAAACCTTCAGAATAACAGCAAAAATCCCCAGCATGACTTAATGGAATGTATTGAAACATTAATTTTTCTGATAAAGAAATTACAAATCCTCACTAAACAAAGGTAGTTATGAGCTCAACTGCTTTATGACAAAATAATTTATGATAGATTCTTCCTGCAGTTGAGAACTTAATCAGTCATAAGACCACATCATGCCAATTTGTGAGCAGTTGTGTTGAGAAACGTTTTCTTGTGGTTCAAAAAAGTATCTCTCCCAGATAACGGGGTCAGTCTTTCACTTTGAGATTGGACTCTCTTTAAGAACTCCAGACATCAGATGTCTGAAAGCTCATGACTGCCCAACGGAAGTTAACCACTAACTGGTTGGATAAAGTCCACCATTCATTTCCCTCTCTATCCAACCTTCATCCAATATGCTAATCTTGAATCATGCTATAGAGATGTTGCCAACAACAGCAACAGTAACATACTTCTTCCCAACATATACTGAGTTCTCGCCACATGAGCATACAAAGACATTGGAAAGCAGAATCCTCAGGTTATGAGAACAGAGAGATAAGTAAAGCAATGGATTTATTTAATTTTTAAATTAAAATTACAAATATAAACAAAAGAAAAAAGAACAGTAATGTCATAAACCCCGTGTGTCAACTTCAATAATTATACACTTCAGGCTAATTCTGCTTCATTTAAACCCCCATCCAATTCTTCCATCCTCCATATCACTAGATTATTTCAAAACAAAACCAAAACATCATATCACTTCATACACACACATACACACACACTTCAGAGATAAGAACTTGTCCTTGAATATAACCACAATACATTATCATAACTAAAGATAATTGACAGTAATTACAAAATATTGCCAGCTATTCAGTCAGTACTCAGGTTTCCCTGTCTAATAATTTCATTTTAATTGTACTGACTTGAATCAAGAGTCATTTGTTATCTGTTTATCCAGTGACATGGTATGTATAGAAAAGAGTTGATATGTGTTTAATTTTTCGCATTTATTTACTAGTTTTCATGTTAATGAGTTGGTTGTCTTGCATCCTCCAAAGATGGTCAGTGATTTGGGGGTTTGAGGCTTTGTTTTTTTGGTGTGTGTGTATATATAGCATATGTGTGTGCCTTAATATCACTGTAGGTTTAAGTATATTTGATGTGTTTCAATTCATTAAATTATTATTTTATTGAAGGCCAAATTGTTCCATCTTTGCTTAAAGAAACCTTAAAGAAAGAAGGAGGGCGGAAGGAAGGAAGCAGGAAGGGACGAAATCAGAGAGGGAAGGAAGGAGAGAAAGAAGGAAGGAAAAAAAGGGAAAGAAAGAAGAAAGGAAGGGAGGAAGGGAGGAAAACCAAAATAATAACAATACTATTACCAACAATCATAGCTTAATTTATTTTTAATTGGTATATAATAATTATACATATTTATACTGCACTGTATGATATCTCAATATGTGCAATGATCAAATCAGGATAACTATTATATCTATTACTTTAAACATAATTTCTTCGTGCTAAGAAAAATCACAATTTTCTCTTCTAAGTAATTTGAAATATACAGTAAATTGTTATTAACTATTGTCACCCATTGTGAACACTAGAATTTATTCTTCCCAACAGGAGTAATTTTGTACTCTTGTTCAATCTCTTTCTAGCTCTCTCTTCCTCCTCTCTGACAACCATGGTGCTCCCCTTTTCGTCTATGAAATTAACTTATTTAGCTTCTACATAGCAGTGAGAACATAGTATATTTGTCTTCCCAGCTTGACCATTTTGCTTCCTCCAGGCTCACCTACAAATGGCAAAATTTCATTCATTGGTTGTATGGCTGAGTAATATGCCACTGTGGATATATACCACATTTTCTTTTTCATTCATCAATTGTTGGACATTTAAGCTGACTTCATGTCTTGGTTATTATGAATAATACTTGAATAAACATAAGAGCACACAAGTCTCTTTAATATACTTGTCTTCTTTCCTTCGGACATAATCCCAGGCGTAGAGTTGCAGATCAAATGGGATTTCTACTTTCAGTCTTTTGTGCAATTTTTAAACTGTTTTCCATACTGACTGTGGTAATTTCCATTCCCACCAACAGTGAATAATTCTTTTCTTCTTATGGTACATCTACAGACTTTGTCATTTGAAATAATTCTTCTCTGCGATTCTGCCACTAATTTGAGATTCAGTTTCATTTGTGTCCCTTTACTTTCCATTTTTCAAGATTGCTTTGTTTCATGATTAATTGTCATAATCATGTAAAACATTTATATGCTTCTGAATTCAAAACAAAAACAAAATATACTCAGACACATCTACCTTCTAATTCTCCTCCTGTTTGCTCACTCTCCCATAAATAAATTTTCCCACTATTTTTTAAATTAGGCAAATTTACACTCAAATTATCTTTTCTTTAGATAAATAGTAGCATACTATACACAATTTTTTCTACCATAATATTTTTGAATTTAAGATAAACCCTGGAGATCATTCTGTAAACTCACTGATATTTTTTTAAAGTATGTTACTTCCTAGCCCAGGTGAGAAATTTTGGCTATAAAATGGGATCATTACTAGGCTACAGCTGGAAAAAGAAAGATTTAACAGAAATGTATTATAAAAATATGCAGATTAGGGCTTTGTAGTAAACCTTCATAAAATGACTCACGAAGTTCAGGGCATCGTGCTGGGAAAAATGAGAGTAGGTGGCTTTGCTCCTGAGAGGCATACACAGTGTGCAATTTCACTGTGCAAAATGCTTTTGCTACTACAATTTTCCTTCGCTTTGCCTTTTTGAAAAGTAATGTTCCTTCCTATTTTAGTGGCACCATTTGCATTCCTATTATTCACACTGAAGTGTGATTTCCATTTTTATCTTCCCTTTGTTACTTGTTTTCATCCCAGCATTTCTCCCCTTGCTCTTTGCCTTTCCTTTATCTTGCCCTTAAATAGAGGGTTCATGCAATGGGAACAGTGCCATGAGTTTTCTAGCCATCCTGCCAGGCCTTGTCCCAGTTTAATGATATAAGCTCTCTTGAACCATTGCCAACCAAGCTAGGACATCCCACACATTTGCTATGGAAACACCTTCATGACTAATGGTCCTTAAATTAAGGCATTTGAAAATTGAAGCTAGAAGGGGTTTTCTTTTTCTTTATTTTTAAGTATACTCTCCAGCTAAGGAAAAAACAGAGTAATTCTCTATAAGTTTGAAGTTGCCATGTTATCATCACATGGAGATTATTTAAGAGGAAGACTCCTAACAACCTCAATCCCAAGGTATCTGCATAATGAAAGCAAGCGTTTGCTCATACTCACCTGTGTCTTTAACCGAGCAGCCTCTGCTCCCTTCTGCAGCATGTTTATGAGTTCAAGCTCTTTTCCTGAGAACAGAAGCAGAGACATTGAAGACCTTGCATGATTTGGATGCTGCCAGGTCACCAGATCACTTTCCCTTCTCACTCTGTGCCCACAAATTACAAACCTTGTCTAGACCCTCTATGCCGTTCCATGCTTTTATACAAGCTCTTGCTATAGTCTAAGAACATTGCGATCACCTCACAAGTAAATCTTCCTTTCATTCTTATATGCCTTGCTCGAGACTCACCTTCGGTAGGAAGGTTTCTTGGCACATCTTTTCCTCCTACCCAGAGAAAGCTGATTGCTCTCTCCCTGAGTGATTTATTATATGTCCACGGAATTGAGACCATCTCAAGAGCAAAGAACATGTTTTGTCTAAGCGTTCTCCACCACCTGGCACTATATTGGGTTTGCTCAATAAGTGATGGTTAACTAAATAAGTGGATGAGTAAAGGGACATGTGTTGTGTCTCTCAGGTGGAAAGAGGAGATTATACTACCAGCCACCTACATGCATGCTGCACTGAAATATCTGAATTCATATTTCTTCTGCTTCACATCTCTAAAAAGAATGGGGTTTTAATAGATCCCTGATTTCAGACTATTGCAACATAAAAATTATGGCCACCTACAGCCAAACAGAAACAATTTATTTTAACTTGAAGGAGGCAAAATGGACTTTTCCACTCTCTGCACTTTTAAAACTCCAATCTTCAGAGCCCAGAAAACCATTCCAGAAATCATCTTACCTTCTGTTGAGCCTTCTTGTATGAGCCCACATCAGCCCAGCCTTTATTCTATTACATCCTTCTAATCTTTACCTTCCATTCCTACCCCTTCCCCTTAATTGAAGACTAGTCTAGGGTCACATCTACAGATCACAGTGGATAATTGGCAAAAGTTGCTAACCTGATTAATTTATCTTTGTCAGTGAAGGAAGATTAGAGCAGGGCATACCTGCTTGATTATATGATTCACCTACATAAAATTATAGATGGCCTGGCCTTGTTCTTTTGTAAGTATGGGTTTGAACTATGTAAGATCGCTCTATTCTTTTTAAAGTATTTTCTTGAACTTTTTAATTTTTAAAAAAGCAAATTTTTAAAAGCACTTTTTTGCTGTGATGAGGCAAGTCTTGGAACCACCCAATGAGAAATACAATCACAGGACACACATCATGCCCCCTAACAAAAAGCCATCAAAAAGCACACCTGCTGCTGTTGTCCATCTCCTGCATTGCAAAGCAGTGACTTTCAAGTAGATCAAAAAGACAAAAAGGGAAACACTTCCACTTTTATGAGCAGCAGAAGTCATTCCTATCCCACTTATCCCTTCAGTATCTCCAAATGCAATGGGCTACTTTGGGGTCAGCTCCCTGACCACAGAAGTGAGAGTTTAGTCCTTATTACATTTATGTCTTTGCAGTAGAGTTAATGTTTAGCTCATTTAAAAGCTAATAAATACATAAAACCATTTTCTACCTCTCCTGCCCCTACTAAAATCCCAATGGTTAGAAAAGTGAATGACTTCACTCACACTTGCCTTTTTCTCAGGCTCTGGTCTTTATATACCTTTCCCCAATAGCCACTCTTCCTAACCTGACTCTACAGGTGTGGAGTTCAACAGAGCAGCTTTCTCCTATGCTAAATACATGATATTTTTGTATATTTCTTTTTCATTCACTAATATTTTTGGGATTCCCAGGAAAATCTTAGTTTGCCCAATATTCCAAAGTAATTAAAGACTTGATTTTAGAGAAGATGAAATTTTATACGTTCTCAAAGCAACTGGGGTATCTAATCCTTAACTGTGAGTATTGCAAAGGAAGACAGAGAACTGGCTCATTTCCTCTGTTTCAGCAAACAGCATCTTCATGACAAATGAGCTCAGCTGTTAACAGCCTGGGCAGGGGCTGTTATCTACCACATCACAGCAGACTGAGAAGAACAGGATGTTTTGAGTACAGTGCAAACCTCTGAGCTAGAGTCAAAACCATATTTCCCAGACTAGTGTTGACCTTGTTTCCTCCCATCTTCAATAAGAATGCTGGTGTTCTAGAAAATGTTAGCAAATCTTACCTGAGAGCAAAACAGTTCGGCTCTGATAAACCTCCTTATTTCCACTGTATTAATGAAAAGAAAGCTCACTCTGGAATACAGGACTCGTGCTGTAACTGAAGCAAGCCCCAGAGCAGTTGTAGGGTATCTGTCAGGGAAATTAGAGTTTCCTTCAGACTCGCCAGCTGTAAAATGAAGGTGCAGAAATCAGTTGTTATTATTCTGTTAAACATGGCCTGATATTCAGAAAGCAAAACAAAATAGTGACAGGAGGTACTGATAAGGAAGTGGAGGAGAAGAGAGTAAAGTCCCTAATATTGGCCATGCTTTGCACACATACATAGTTGTAATCTTCAGCCTATTTCAGTTAAAAAAGTGAATATGCTAAATCTGTAAATCTATCAGGGCTGGCTATCATCAAAAATTCTTGCTTAGTTGATATCAAGCTGGTAGAGCATGAGGTTTTAGAATCAAATAGATCTGGGTTTGAATCTGGATCTACTATGACTGGTGGAAGGATTTTATACAAGTGACTTTGCCTTTTGAGCCTATTTTCATTCTTAGAATGAAACGACCCTTTACACAGGGTCTGTCCCTGGAGAAGCACTCATGTAAGTGTCATTATTACTATTAAATCAGTGTATTTCTCAGGGTCCATTTGGTTGGAAGTGAAACAGAACAACTCAAACTGTCTCAAACAAAACAGGGGAATTTTTCTCCCATCAAGCTGAAAAACTCCAGAGGCAAGTTTGGTTTGGGCACATGGGGAACGTGACCTCTACTGAAGTCCCAAGACTTGGTTCTTACCCTGCCTTCTTCCATCTGTGGATTAGCCTTGCTCTTTTGCTTGCGTTCTTCTGCAGGTTCCAGAACAACACCAGTCTTGCAATTCTCCCAGCCCGTAAACTTTGGCTCCACCAGATGCCCCCTTTGTATTTAACAGCTGGGATGCCATGACCATCCCTGAACATATCAGTGCAACAGAGCTGGGATAAACAATACACCGTGAACCTGTTGATTTAAAGCTTTAGTCATAAAACTATTTCCCATGATACTGGCAGAAACGACATCACAGGGAATCTAGAAAGGGTGGAGTAACACAAACTGAAGATTTCCACAGCTGTTAACAGGTGGCTTTTTACCCAGAAAATCCTTTGTTGTTCAGACACTGTGACATAAAGCTCTAGAGCTGCCCAGTGAGAGAACAGAACACAGCTGACTTGGTGAAGGGAGCAACATTTCCTGCATGACTCGTTTGAGTTTATCACTGACTCAAAGTGCCCCCCTCTATTCTGGGACAGAGGTGCAGCGCACCTGTCCACATTTTTGCAAAGCCATGTGGGCAAGCCCAGGCAGAGCAGGACAGTGTGCTGCACATGATCACACATGGAGCAGCTGATGATTCTAGTTGGAAAAAGAGAATGATCCTGAGATTTGGGCCACTGCCAGTGGAAAATTCACATACATGAAAGCAATAGGTTTCATGCTGGTGGTTTCAAGGGGGCAGAGGAGGGAGGAGAGGCAGAGGAGGTAAGCAAGTGCATGATTGGAAATAAAAAGTTCCACTGGGTTTCATCTATTTGTGTGGAAAAAAAAGAGTTTAAACCAGTGTTTAGAAATGTAGGAACCGGAAGTGCTGAAAGTAAAACAATTCCCTGTACTTCAGATGGATTTTCACCCAAGGATCTTTTTAAGGAATTTACTGGAGCAGTTTTAATCACCCCAAAACAAATACTGATTGGTTGTCTGTGTGTTTATAAAAGCATATCTGACCCGGGAGCTGTAGGGCAATCTGGGTCATAATAGGACAACAAAACCAGAGCATGTTAACCTCCATGTCTTCAAGGCCTGGTGATGTGCTCATCGCTGCTTATGTGCTGCATGTGGAAAACAGCTCCAAGGCCACCTTCAGCACTGACATCCCTCCAGGCAGAAGAACAGAACTACTGAGAGGTTGTCAGTTACTTATAATCTGGGGCTGAGCACGTAAGAATGGATCTTTTCCAATTGTGGCTATGTTTAACGTGGACTCACAGATGGTGTTATCATGAATTTAGTTTTTCCCACAAAGAAAACACAGGGCCTGGTTGAAGTCACCCCAAAATGCATGACAAACCAGAAATAAGTCCTTTTCCTTCCCCGATTTTTGTTTTAGCAAGTACCACCTCACGATAAAGTCGCTAAGTCACCTCACAATGACAGCCTTCATAGCAAAAACAAGATGCAAAGTTCTTTTATGAAAACCCCTCAAGTAACACACTTTCTGTGGCCTTCCTAATAGCCAAGTATGAACAATCATGCATTCACAGATGAAGAAACTAAAACACAGGAAAATTAAACAGCTTATCACAGATGACCTAGTAAGTCATTCACCAAATGTGCAGCCCCTGACAACTGAGGACACACACGAGGTGACACTGACAACTCGACCTCACCCTTGTTTCTGTGATGAACATTAGAAAACTCCATCTGCTGGCCTGAAATACCTCACACTGCTATGAAGATGACAAATTCAATCAGATCCTCAGTAAGCAAATCCAAATCAGGCCTGACACCATCTTTATTAGATCACAGAATCCTACTGGTGTGGCTCTGAGTCCCCTTGAGGTGCATGACTCCATAATGTAGGTGATTTGGAGCCCAAAAGGACTCTCAATAAAGTGATGACAGATGACACTCATCCTGGATGAGGTATAAGGAAGGTTAGAGAGACAAAAATCAAAATAACAACAAAAAAATTTACAGTGGTCCTACTCAAAGCAATAGCTTCCTAATGGGTTGGAAATAAACAAAAGGAGAACCCAGTTTTGATGATAGTAAAGAAAAAAAAAAGGATGAAGACACTGTTCCACTCTCATCATGGAGACAAACAGAATCTTCTCTTTTAAAGCTAAATTTCAGGTTAGTTGTTTCCTTTCACAAATTTTATTTTTTTTGGTCACAAAAATGTCATCTTCTAGATCTGAAAGAAATTTCCTCTAACCTCTGACAAGCCATTTTCTTCCTTTTCTTTTTTTTGTCTATTCCGTCACTTTTTTCAAAGGTGGTGCCAGAAAGACCAGCCATTCAGATGAGCAGTCAGTGGCCATTGAATTAATGAGACTTGAGAAGGACCAGAATGCCTACCTGCCAAGGTGCCAGCATTGCACCATTAGAGTCACTCCAGTGAATGGCACATTGCATTTCCGAAATGCTCCAGTCCCGAGTAGCAATGTAAGGCCTAGCACAGCACCCAGGCCATCAAAGTTGCTCAATGTTTATTGAAAGAGTGAAAGAATGACTGTTTCCTGCAAAAGATAATAAGCTGTGCTTATACTGGTTAGGGTCCATGTTGAAAATATGGAAGTATCTGGAACGTATTAACTCATTTGCTCCCATGATATGTGGTTGTGCAGTGGATTCACATAGTGGCTGTTTGCCAAGAAGCCCAAGTCAGCTCTTAAAGAAATAGAATAATGGGAAAGATAGTGTGGGACAGAAGCAACAGGATATGTGAAAAGAGACTAGAAAGATCCTAAGGTTTTGGCAAAGGGAGAAGAAACCCAATAGGTCAGCTGTGTCCTTGGGAGGCAGCTCAGCATGAAGACCCAACATCATTCTGTCAGAGACTTGGAGGAAGTTTTCCCATCTGAGGAAAATACTACTGATTCACGGTAATCCCAGAGGTTCAGGAGTTCAAGTCCTTGTTCTCCGATTTTCTAAATCCAAGACTTACGGCAAAGTGTTTTACTTCTGTCTGACCTAGAAACTGTCACCCTGAAATGAGCATAGTAACTCTCTTTGAGCATTTAGGAAGATTAAATGAGACAATGCAGATACTCCTCAATGGTTTACCTCCCAATAAACCCATCATAAATTAAAAATATCAAGTCAAAATGCATTTAATCTACCTAACCTACCAAACTTCAGAGCTCAGCTGGCCTACCTTATAGATACGCAGAACACTTACATTAATCAACAGTTAGGCACAATCCTCTAACACAAAGCCTACTTTATAATTGCATGTTGAATACCTCATGTAACTTACTGTATACTTGTAGCCAGAAAGCACTGGCAGCTCAGAACAGTGTAGATTACCCTTCATTCACACAACTGTGTGGCTAACTAGGAGTTATATATCATGAGAGAGGATCGTACCACATCACTAGCCTGGGTAAAGATTAAAATTCAAAGCACAGTTTCTACTGAACTCATCTCATTCATACCAACCTAAAGTCAAAAACTTAATTGGAACTCATGAGTTGAGGTCCATCTATACACATAAAGCCCACTAGAAAAATGATGGCCTAGCCCAGGAAGCACTCAACTAATGCTAGTTACCATCTTCATCAGTATCTTCATCATTTCTTCTCTATATATGACGGGGGTCATCTCTTAATCAGTTTTCTCATCCCTGGGACGAAATACTCAACACCCACAACTTAAAGGAAAGGTTTATTCTGGCTGAAGGTTTCAGCCCCTGATCAGCTGGCTCAAAGGCAGAGAAACAGGATGGCAGATGAGCACGATGAGGAAAATGTGCTCAACCCCTGGCAGCTAGGAAGCAGAGAGAGAACAGAAAGCCCAGTGACGAGAACATGCCCTTCCCCATCACACCTTGACTGGCCTACCTCCTAAAAGCCAGTCAGCTATGGTGCCCCGTGATCAATCATGAGGCTTTGAGGGAACATTTTAGATCTAAAACATAAGAGGTAGGCAATTTATTTCTTGTCATTACAACTCACACAAACATACAACGGAGAAACTGGTGAACTAACTCGGCAGCTGTTGCCTTTGGTTGGTATCCTATGTCTACAGGAAAGAGAGAGATAGTGTACTTCTCATTTACTACTGCCATGACCAATTTGCTGGACTTGTCCCTTCCTGAGTGGCTCTACAGAAAAATTGGATAATAATAGTATGCATCTCACTGTATGCTTCGAGATTTGGATGACTTCACGCCCAGATAGAATCTAGAACAGTCACAAACAGAAAACAAGCACGATCGTTGTTATTCCATGCATGTGTATGTGTGGGTACATGCATATTCTTCTCATAGGTTTTCTAAGGATGAATATAATATGGGGAATCAATTTTCAATCTTATAACAAAAGATAGGGGAGCACATGGGTATTTACCAAGATTGGCTCTTTCACAGCATGCAGTACAACCACAACTAGCAGGACACAGTTACTGAGACATGGCCTTCGGTCTCAAGTTTCCACTAAACTGCTCAGAATAGTAAGTCTATGTCTCACCCATGGCTCTGCGCTCAAACTGAGGTTAAAGGCTGCCGTGCCGATTAAGGTCACCAAAAAATGATTAAAGGAATTATGCTGGGGCTTGTGAAAGGAGCCAGAGATGATCACCAAATTAGCAGCCCTCATTCTCTGTGCTGTTCTGGGCATCAGCTTAGCATCCCAAGCACTGCATTCACCCCGACTCCCTCAGTGGTCCTCAAGGGAGAAACTAACATCTTATTCATTTCCAAGACAGTAAAACAGAAAGGCTCTTTCCAACTCTGGGAAATAGCATTGCTAGCAATGGGTGATAAGCAGAGGAAACAAGTTTGGGGTGGTTTTCTTCTGAGTGTTAAAGTCTGAGTGTCCTCTCTGAGAAATACTTATCTTTTAATGCTCATTTAAGTCTACCTCTTCTAATGCATCCCACCTGAAAACTCAGAGATTCTTCATAGCTACTTCTATAGCAGACATACCTACAGGTATAACCATAAGATATTAGGGGTGGGTATTTACATCTTAACCCTTAAAACTTGTACAGAAATAGAATAGATACAAGGTACAACTGTGTGCTTGGGACCTGCATGTGTATATGAGACAGGCAAATACACCCATTTCTCATGAAAACACACAGCAGCCTTCAAGTTAAGGAAATAGCAGTGCTGTGTGACAGCAGTGAGCAGAAAGCTGGCTGCTCATTGACATGCAAGTGGCAATAGCAGGCATTCTGCTGTGCTTAAGGGATCCCATGACTGGTTTAACCACAAGCAGGTTATTAAAGTGAAACAAGGCTATTCTGTCCATTATGAAAATCACTGTCCTTTCCCTGTGAGTGGCACATCAAGGGCTATTTATATTTCAACCAACAACCAACAATAAATCTATATAGTGCTTCAAATACATTTCCTGGTTTGAAGAACAATAGCTG